GGAGGATGGTGAGGCACTCCAAAGGGATCTGTCAAGGATGGGCAAGTGGGCGTCAATGTGGCAAATGGGCTTCAATGTGGCCAAGTGCAAAGTGATGCACATTGGAGCCAAAAATCCTAACTATAAATAAACGTTGATGGGATCTGAACTGGCAGAGACTGACCAAGAGAGAGATCTTGGAATCGTAGTAGATAATTCAATGAAAATGTCGAGGCAGTGTTTGACTGCAATAAAAAAGGCCAACGCTCTGCTCGGGATTATTAAGAAGGGAATTGAAAACAAATCAGACAGTATCATAATGCCCCTGTATAAATCAATGGTGCAACCTCATTTGGAGTACTGTGTACAGTTCTGGTCACCATAACTGAAAAACGATATTATAGCACTGAAAAAAGTGCAGAAAAGGGCAACTAGAATGATAAAAGGGTTGGAACACTTTCCTTATGAAGAAAGGTTAAACCGTTTAGGGCTCTTTAGCTTGGAGAAACGATGGCTGAGGGGTGACATGATCGAGGTTTATAAGATTATGCATGGGATAGAGCAGGCAGAGAAAGAAGTACTTTTCTCCCTTTCTCACAATACAAGAACTTGTAGCACTCAATGAAATTGCTGAGCAGTCAGGTTAGAACGGATAAAAGGAAGTACTTCTTCACCCAAATCACAGAAGAGACTCTTCACCCAAAGAGTGATTAACATGGAATTCACTGCCACAGGAGGAGGTGGCAGCTACAAGCATGGACGGTTTCAAAAGGGAATTAGATAAGCATATGGAGCAGAGATCCATCAGTGGCTATTAGCCACAAGGTATAGATAGGGGCTCTGGGGCAAGTGATGCTCTGTCTTCTTGGTGCTTGGGGGGGGCAACAGTGGGAGGGCTTCTAGTGTCCTGGCCCCACTGGTGGACCTCCTGATGGCACCTAGTATTTTTGACCACTGTGTGACAGACTGTTGGACTGGATGGGCCATTGGCCTGACTCCAACATTGGCTTCTCTTATGTTCTTATGTTTCCCCTGAAGAAAATGGCTTCTTTGGAGCATGGACTCTGAGTGGGGTTATCAGCTTCATACTGAAAAATACCTGGCGATTTGGGGGGTGGAGCCTGAGGATGGCAGGATGTGCGGAGGGGAGGGACTTCAATGGGGTATAATGCCATAGAGTCTACCTTACAAAGTGGCCATTTTCTTCAGGTGAACTGATCTCTGTTGCCTGGAGATCAGTTGTAATAATGGGAGATCTCCAGCCACTTCCTGGAGGCTTGCAACCCCATGTGGCATTATACTATGCTGAGGCCTCTTCCTTCCCCAAACTCTGCACTCCTCAGACCTCATCACAAAATCTCCTGAAATTTTCCAAACTGGAGGTGGCTACTTTAGTCAGTCATGGCCCCAACGAATCCTCCTTCAGTGGCCAAAATGGCCTGGAAAGGGCCCTGTCCCCTCTCCCACCCTTTTCATTCACAGAAACTGAAGCCTGGAATAGTGTGGTTGCCTGGTAACAGCCACTGAGGGAATCCATTGCTTAAAGCTGCAGGTGCTCCTTTATCATGTTGTATTTTTTAAACCACCCAATGCCTTTTTTTTAGATTTCAATTTTTTCTTCAAACCTGGTACCCTTTTCAGGTTTGTAGAAAGATATGTCTTGCCCCTTCACAGCTCCAGTCACTGGATTTAAGTATCCAAAGATATGGCCGACTTCACTATTAGAATATAAGATAACATGCGGGAAGACACAGAACAGACAAACAGCAAACTACTAAGCCACATAAAGTGCAAAATGGCCCTATTAGCCAGCAACCCAGGCTTCTGAAGGGTGAAGATTCGAGAAGCATTGAGGGAAAAATCACACTTTGCTACTGTATAGATCTCTTCATTCTAATAGTTCAGAACCCAGAGAAAACTAATATGAATAACGTCAGAGGAGGAAATTAGCAGTAGTTCAGTGACATGCTGTTAATTCATTGCACTGATTGTTAACTTCCTCTTGTCATCATTTATTTTACACTATGTCTAGACAGTGCATTACCTGTCACCAAAACTGTGACAAGGGGTGTGTGCTCAGTATAAACTGAGCTGGAAAACTCACCGATAAATATCTTATTGGTATTTATCAGGTATTTTCTCAGCCAATCAGAGAGGGGGCTAGTTATTCAGCTATCCAGAAATGGCCACCCCCCAAAAGTCCCAATTTTCAGGGTCACTGGACAACTACCGTTACAAGGCTTTTAAAGGGTTCTCAGTCCCTTTAAATGCTTTTGGAGTGAACTCTCAGCTTGGAGAAGGTATTTAAAGGGATAACTATGCAGCAAATTTGGTGCCTCTATCTCAAAGAACAGCCCCCCTAGAGCACCAGATACCCCCAGATTGATTCTCCTTTATTGACTATAATGATCTTCATAGAGTATAATGGAGCCAAAAACATTTGGCAATCCTGAATATTTCCCAAATCCCAGTACTGTGCCAATACTGGGATTCGGGCATATCAGGAAATACCAATATTTTTCGGGTTCAATATACCCAAACCTGGAAAATACCAATTTTTTGTGTGCACATGCCTAGCTGTGACTAGGCTCTGAGGGCTGAAGGCAAATGAAATACTTCCGCCCCAAACACAGTCCAGGTGGGGGACAAATCTGAAAGCAACTCACTGCAGGAAGATCCTCTGCTCTGCCACTAGCCCTACACAGCCTGAGTCTGGCCCACCTTTAAAGACAGAGCTGGTTTTGTTAATTGATTCTTCCTTCTCACAGACGCAACAAAATGTACTTCTTGATGGGTGGTTGTACCCATAGTAGTTCTACCCAGAAACATGGGGGGGGGAATATGTATTAGGCTCTGCTCCTTATAAAAACAAATCACAGAAGAGACCCAATGCCAAACAGCAGAATTAAAAAACAAGATGTATTCTCTCAGCTACCTACATGACAAGGTCAAACAGAGGAATTACCAAGGGTTTCAGTGAGAATCAGGGCTGGCTTGCACATGACCTGGGAATGTAAGCTATCCATATGGTACTTACCCATGCAGTAACAAGCCTCATAGCCACATACGCTCCCCCATTACATTCAGATAAACTATGATGTGATCCATTGATTGACCATAGTGACATAAAAGGGGGCCTACATGTGTAAATGCCACAGTTCTCATTATGGGTCATGTGAGGAGATAGGAAACAGAAACCAAAGGCTCACTACTATGTCACACTTCAATGATAATCTATGTACCTCCACTATGAATGAAGCAAACCTAACCTATAATAGATGCTATTCTAGCATGATGCAGATACCTAAAACAGCTGGTAATCTGGAAACTCATAGTCCAATTGTGTCCTTTTAATAGTTAATATAATACTCTGGACCCGGCTGAATTGGCTAATTACCGGCCAGTCTCCAATTTGCCCTATTTGGGCAAATTAATTGAGAGGGCAGTGGTGATACAGCTACGAGGCTTTATGGAGGACACTTAGATGGTCGACCCCTTCCAGTCCAGCTTTCGCCTGGGACATGGGACGGAGACGGCTCTGGTCGCTCTGACTGATGATCCCCAGAGGCATCTGGATCGAGGCGGTGTGGCAGTGCTGTTGTTGTTGGACCTGTTGGCTGCATTCAACATGGTCAACCATCAGTTGCTGCTTTGCCGCCTTGCTGACATGGGAATACAGGGGCTTGCCTTACAGTGGCTTGCTTCCTTTCTCCAAGGTCTGGGACAAAGAGTGGCAATCGAGGAGCAACAGTCCAGGAGACACCCGCAGGAGTGCGGAGTGCCTCAAGGGACAGTGCTTTCCCCGATGCTATTTAACATCTATATGCGCCCCCTTGCCCAGATAGCCCGGAGTTATGGGCTGGGGTGCCATCAGTATGCTGATGACACCCAGCTCTATCTGACGCTGGGCGGCTGGTCAAACTCCAGTCCTGGAGATCTGGACCGTGTATTACTGGCCGTAGCTGGTTGGCTTAGGCTGAGTCAGCTGAAATTGAATCTGGCGAAGACGGAGGTCCTGTGTGTGGACCAGGGCAGTGCATGGGTGGGGACCCCACTCCCGGCCTTCAGTGGGGCACCATTGGTGCCAGCGCCGGAGGTTAGGAGCTTGGGTGTGCTCTTGGACCCCTCCTTAAAAATGTAGGCCCAGGTAGCAGCCACTGCCAAGTCGTCCTTTTACCTTCTTCAGCTGATTAGGCAGTTGGTTCCCTTCCTCGACTGCAACAACCTGGCCACAGTGATCCATGCAACGGTCCCCTCGAGACTAGTCTACTGCAACGCTCTCTACATGGGGCTGCCCTTGTTGCAAATTCGGAGGCTGCAGCTAGTGCAGAATGCCACGGCCAGGCTGTCGATGGGCTTACCTAGATGGGAGCACATCCAGCCTGCATTGAAGGTCCTGCACTGGCTGCCAATAGCATACCGAATCCATTTCAAGGTGCTGCTGCTTACCTTTAAAGCCCTATATGGCCAGGGTCTGACATACCTGAGGGACCGCCATTCCCCACATATACCCCAGAGAGCACTGAGGTTGGGGTCACAGAATCGCTTGACCCTGCTGGCCCCCAAAGAGGCCAGGATCGCCGTGACGAGGGCCAGGGCTTTCTCAGTGGCGGCTCCTTACTGGTGGAATAAACTCCCGGAGGAGATCAGGGCCCTGCAGGATCTTTTGCAGTTCTGCAGGGCCTGCAAGACGGAGCTCTTCCACCAAGCTTTCAATTAGGAGCCGCCCCCACCATTACCATCAATGAGCCTGGTCCTCAGTTCTAACATCTGGTCCAACACATCGAGCAACTCGGAACGACACTGAGCTGGAATCTAGTTGTGAGACATCTTAATATGCCATCGTAAGCAACAAACTGTAGAACTGAATAGCACCTTATGATTTTGTTTTAACTTATGAAATGATGTATATTGTTTTATCAGTTTTATTGGCAATTGGGCCACTGCTGTAAGCCGCCCTGAGCCCATTCGCAGGGAAGGCGGGGTATAAATTGAATGAATAAATAAATAAATATACTTACGTAAAGAGCAATAGAGACCAACTTGTTCATATCCTTCACAGCAGTCTGTCACGTTCATAGGCTCTGGGACTGTGATCGCGTGATACTCTTCTTTGTAATAAGTTTTGGTACAAACTCTCCAAGGAATCCATCCTCCACATGGAGTTTGCTTCTCATATGACTTTTGATAAGCAATCATTTTAGACACATGCTTGGTCACACTATAATTGCATAAATGGTAGCCCAGCAAGGAGAGACCTTTCTCTGGAAAGGAAACACAGTGACATCAATTAAATAGGAGTGTCACAGAAAGATATTGTTTTAAGCACCTGCTAACTGATGAAATTTCAGGGAACCAAGGAAATACATCTAATTCTCAACATGGCTCAATTTGTGGATGCTTAAATCTGGAGACTGGAGCCATGAATAGACAAGACTGATCTTGCTACAAACATGAAAAAATGCCCCAGGTTTGAAGAAAAATCTAAAATCTTTTTAAAAAAATGGACAGGGGATTAAAAACACTAAAATAATATAAGCAACATCTGTAGCTTTAAGAAAAAGGCCCTCACTAGCTATCAGTGTTCCCTCTAAGCTGAGTTAGTGTGAGCTGGCTCACCGTTTTTTAGCCTCCGGCTCACGCATTTTTGTCTTAGCTCAGGAAGGAGGGCTCCAGAGCAAACTAATTTATGCAGGAGCCAAATCGCTCGCTGACAACTTTAATGACCGTAGCTCACAAAGTAGAATTTCTGCTCACAAGACTCCACAGCTTAGAGGGAACATTGCTAGCTATTGCTAAGCAACCACAACAGTACTGCCAACTTTCAAACCTTGGTTTCAATCAGTTAAAAACAGAGAGAAAGGGCAGGACTTTTTCAGATCTGTTTTGCCCTTTAAGGGGGGGAATATTTGGGGTCAAGGCTGTCAGCAACCACTGGGCAACTTGATACTATGTGACCTGCAGGACTCACCCTGGCCTAGCTGCTTGCTACTGTTTAAAAGCTGCCACCCCTTGAAAGCCAGGGTGGTGTGGTGGTTAGAATCTCAGATGAGGACACCCAGGTTCAAACTGGCTGGGTGACCTTGGGCCAGTCACACAAACACTCAACCTCACCTACCTGACAGGACTGTTGTGAGGATAAATGGAGGGGAAGAAAATGATGTAATTTGCTTTGAGTTTCCATTAAGGAGAAAAGTGGGGTATAAATGAAGTAAATAATAAATATAGCTGAATGTGGGAGCAGATAAAAGGGAGGTTGCTTGGTGGTGGGAAGGAAATAAAGAAGCAAGGGAAGGTGAAGAGATGGGGGCTGCCAGGAGAAGGGAAAGAGGAAACGGTGGGAAGGGGATTTACAGGGCGGCAACGTGAGGTCTCCTTGTGGGTTCCCCCTCGTGCAAGTAGGCCTGGCCCCGCCGGAACATCACA